GTAGGGCAGACAGAGAGAGGCTGGGATGTAGCTCAGTGATGGAGCACTTGTACGGAATGTATAAGGCCCTGGCTTCCATCCTTCAGATGGGGGAGGGGAAGGGAAGAAGAAAGGAAGGGAGGAAGATAGAGATACAGATAGATACAGATGAGTGGGGGAGGGTTTGCAGAAGGTGGTCTCAGAGGGAAGGAGATGTGGAAGCTGGAAATGGACGTAGGGAAAGGGAAAGTGGGAAGGAAAGAATGAGGGGAAGCCCTAAAGAAAGGAAACCAAGAAAAAAAGAAGGAAGCCAAATGGAGCTGGGAGGCTGTTGTTGGTAACAGCACTGCACTGTCGGCCTTGACTGTGGACCCTTGAGCCGGTGATGGAGATGGCAATTGAGGACAAGGTCAGGGAACTGTCGGTGGGTTAGAGTTCTCTTTCAAAAGCAATCAAAGGATGCGAAGAAAAAGACTCAGATGCATTGACATGGTTAAGAGTTTGGGGGCAGAAGCTGTCCTCCTTTTGTTTTGGAGTGAAGTATTTTATTCGGAGCCATTGTGTCTTGGGGGTACATACTCGTTTTTGATTTATGCAGGGGCTCAGCAGTGAAACTTGGCTTTGAGTCTCTAAAGAGACCTCGGACTTAAAATTTTAAATGATACAGGACTCCTAAAATTTGAGGGGTGCTGGAGGGATGGGTCAGCTATAAGACTAGACTCACAGCCAAAACTGTAAGATTTGAGGGACTTTGGGAAAGGGACAAAATGCATTTTGTATTATGAGGTGATCATGGTATGTTGGGGGCTAGGGGAGAATGTTACTAGCTTTTATATGAAATATCTCTCATAGTCTCATATGGTGATGGTTTGGTCCCCAGATAATGGCGTGAACCCCATAAAGTCAGGCTTTCTGCCAAAAAAATTAACAAACTAGGTCATGGGGGTGTATGGGGTGTACCTTTGAAAGTCTTACGTGGCTCCCCGTCCCTTCTCTCTCGGCTTTTCTTATCAGCTATGAGGTAAACGACCCCTGCCTCACGTCCCCACTTCCTGATGCACACCTCATTCAGCAACATGGAGCCAAGTGACCACAGACTGGGCCCTCTGACACCGTGAGTCATAACATTCTCCCTTCAGCTGCACTGCTGTCATGGCGGTGTCAAAGTCTGACAAACAGGGATCCCCCCCTCTTCCCTGGCCGTGTGAGCATGCATAATGCTTTATCAGTTCTAAAGCACACGTTTTAAACTTCGCGCTTTCAACGTCTCTGAAGTCGGGGTGTGTCATAGAGTCAAGGGCACCACTACAGGTGGATGCCTCCCCACCTGTTAGCTTAGCACCTTAACTGACAAGCACTGGGTCTTGAGGTTAGAGGAAATTTCAGTTTAGTGGTCCCCTTTTCAGTCTTCCAGGGAGGAATTACAGTTGGAACACAGCGTTCTTGAGGAACCTTCTCAAATCCTAGCATATTGTGTGCACTGTCTCTGTATTTCTGTTTCCCTTGTATAACAGCAAGCACCTGATTACTGGTCTCTACTCTCCCAATGTCAGGACTTTTCAGAAGCAAGGGTTTCTTGTCCCTCATGCTGTTTTCTGTGCGCATGCGCACATGGTTGGAGGGGATTGGAGAATCTCACAGCGTCCCTAACAACACCCACACAGAGGTGATAAATGGCAGCGCTCTCTTGGGCATGGTCTATAGAGACAAATAACACTACTACCCTTTCTGAAAGTTATTTGAAGGCAAAGAAAAAAATAAGAAAGAAAGAAAAAGTCAAGTTTGGGATTTGGGAGGATAAAATGCCTCCTCCTGTGTTGATGACTGAGAAAAGATTTCTGGGTTGAGACCCAAAGGTTGGTTAAGAAATTATGATGGTTATCCCAAAGCCCCAACTTGGTTAAGACAGAAAAGAACCGATGCTTCACAAATACATATCGGTGCTTTGGATTTATCTGAAGGGATTCCTCCCCTCCGCCCCCGCCCCTAGACAGGGTTTTTCTGTGCAGCCCTAGCTGTCTTCGAACTTGCTCTGCATACTAGGCTGACTTCAGTCTCACAGGGAACTGCCTGCCACTGCCTCCCAAGAGCTGAGATTAAAGATGTGCACCGCTCCCCCCCACTTAAGTTTTAATTGAGGACTAAAGCCCCTCTTTGGTACCTTTACCATAAAAGCCCAGAAGGGCCAGCCACGTAGGTTTATCTTCTTTGAGAAGAGCCCATCTCCCTGACCGCCTCTGTCCAGCTGGTTCCTCTACTTTTTGAGACACGTCCTAGAACAGGAGCTGCGCTCAAGGACAGCATTTGCTGTGGTAGGCACGCACACGATGGTCAAAAGGCTTCCTAACATTTGCTAACCAGGAGGGCTTAGCCTTGCTTTCTGCTTTTAAACAGCACTTGGCTTGAAGTCAGCTTCCACCTTCCTTAACTTCGGCAGAGAGACCGTGAGAGAGGCTCAGCGTGGGCGCCAGCCCATAGTGCAGCTGGCAGGGTCCCAGATCAATAGCCAGGGTCCTGCTAAAGCTGGGTACTAAATGATCACCATAAACTCCCTTTGAAAGAGCATATTATGGTTTGCAGGTCTCCCAAAAGTGCAGGTGTTGCCACTTTAGTTTCTCAGGGTAGTGGTGGTGCCTAGTGGGAGCTTCTAGACACTGGAGGCAAAGAACAGGAAGTATTGTTGCCTCTTCTGAACGTACTCTGCTCTAATGGACTGCAGCCATGGCTGCCCCTCCCTTCTCTCTCTTCCTAGTAGCTGGCATAACGCTCTTGGAGGACTTTCCTGCCTCTTGAATTGTGATCCCAAATAAACCTGTTTTCCCTCTACAAATGGACCAGTCTCGAGCATTTTGTTACAATACGAGAAAAACAAAGAGACTTGTTGGAGCGGTGCAGCTCTGAGAAACCGGTTTTTATTATTAAAGTACTGCACTTGCCCTCAGGCCAGTGTCATCACCGGTCTGAGTACTGGACCGTGGTGCATATAAGATCTCATTCAGAAAACATTGCAAGCGTTACAGAAAAGACTTATAAAAAGACCTCTTCTCAGCAGGCCAGGCGTTTTATTGAAAGGTGCTAGACTGTCTTTCAGACACCGTCATTAAGTTTGTTTATCATGTAATCGGTTATTCTAGTGTCGGCTGCCAGGCTCCTTCCACTGGCCTCCCTCACAGTCAGCTTAAGTGCGGAGAGTGAGCATCCTGTTTCTATGTGAGTCTTACGACCCTCAGTCATGAAAGCGCCACAAATCCTCCCAGCCGATTACAAACTTACCACGTTTATTATGGGTGCCCCTGTGTGTTCTGGGACAGGTGTGGAGGTCGAAGGATTACTTGTGCAAGTTGGTTCTCTCTTTGTACCCTGTAAGTTTCCAGGCATTTCGCTCAGGTGGTCAGGCTTGTTGGCAAGCAGTTAGCTGTTGAGCCTCTGGCCAACTCCTAGCCGATTTTTGTGTCTGTTTTTGCTTGTTTGTTTTGTTTTTAAAGAAAGACGACTTTGGGCCTCTTAAGTGTGTTTTTACTCCATATAAACCTGTCTGAGGGGTTCGGAGCGGGGCTTTGTGAGTTCAAATCTTTTCTGTCGACACCTCTTGGGAACTGTGTGGCTTGGATGAATCTCGTAATCTCTCTGAATCTGTTTATTTGTAAATGAGCAACAACACAAACCTTGGGAGTGAGTTGGCCCGAGATCACATCAGTGGCCCCGGAGCTACAATTCTTGCTTGCCTAACTGGAAGCATCCTATCTCTCCCTCGGCTCGCCCTTTTCAGAGCCTAGCAGCTACCTTGTTCTCTCAGGTTCTATGCAATGGCCTGTAGGGACCGGGGCAGCTGCTTCCGGGGGCAGGGGGGTGGGCATTTGACCGCCCTGGCTTTCCCTTTGCAGAAAGCGTCCCGGTGGCTGGCAGCCCCGCGTCTGGGAAGCAGGCTGAGCGAGCAAGGGTTGGCGAGCTGGCTGAGAGCGAGCATCCCGGGGGCAGGCCCTGCGGGCTCAGCCGTGCGTGCGCCGCGGAGGGTGGTGGCGGCAGGCACCCCGCCCTTGGCCGCCGCCCCGGCGCGTCAGGTGCCGTGAGAAGCGCGGGAGGGGCGGCCGCGAGCAGCGCCCAGGGAGATGACTGGAGCCGACTTCCCAGAAGCGGCGCACGCGAGGCACAGCTCCGCACGCAAGGGGGAGGCGACAGCAGCAACTTTTCAACCCAGCCGTCCGCAGGAGCAGGGCCGCCTCCTCCTCCCACTCACCGCCCCCTCTCTCGTCTCGCTCTCCAGGAGCGTCCTCGGCGCCCAAGCTTGGAGCGTTGCCTGGGCGCGCCCCGAGCTGTCTCCAGCGTCCGGAAGGTGGCGGAGTCCCCGGCCCTTTGCGAACTTGGTGTGCCAAGGGCTGGCTGGTGCACACCTTGGGCCGGGAGAGCTGCAGCTTTCAAGGCTTCCGGCGGAGGTGGAAAGAGATCTACTCACACAGAGGGCCTCGGTGGTAGGGCCAAACGGTTTGCACAAGCTTAGGAGAAAGATGAATGCGGGGCAAACCGTCGGGACGAAAGCTGTCCCTGTTCCTAAAATGACAGTTTCCTGGCTCGGTGCCTAAGAATGGTGAGCAAGGCACCGAAATTCACTGGAGGAGAGCGCGCATTTCGGTGCGCTCTTGTTCAAGCGCGCAGAGGCGTGAGAAATTCTGTCCCGGGCCAGGTCGTGGGGAAAGAGCGGAGGGGGGGGGGAGCTTGGGGGCAGGAGTTCGTGTCTTGGCTGGGGGATGACAAGCCGTTATCGCCAAAGGAAAACGTCTCAAGGTGACTCCAACCAAGCCGCCAGCTATTGTCCCAGCACGGTCCCGGCGGGCGGCTGGGACTTCCCACTGGACCACCCCGAGTCACCCCGACGGCAGACGCGAGACCCCGGAGGCCGAGCGCCTGCGGGCTTTGGCAGCGCGCCCCGCCCCTCGCGCCCCTCCCCCTCGAGGTCCCCGCTCCCCCCTCCCCCCCGTCGCTATCCAGTCCTTAAAACCCCGAGGAGAGGGATGGCGCGGGGCGTCTCGGGGGTGCGTTGCGGACACTTCTGAAACGCCAGCCTGAAAGCCAGCCACCAGCGGGTTGGGATTCGACTCCGCTGTATCAACTCCCGACCCCCGACCCATCTCAACCGCGACTCCAACTCCGAGAAAGCCCTGACTGCGGAGCCCCAGGTGCAGTGCGGCTCAGCAAACTTGACAGTTTTTCCCCCTCCTCCATCCCAATCCAAGTTTAGGTACCGACTGAGCCAAGAGTAGGGGCTAGAGCAGCAGCTGTCAGGTGTCGGGGACGGGCCTCCCGGTCCCCGGAGAATCTCAGGTTGAAGTCTTGCCGTGGGCCGAGGCTCCAGGGCTTCTCCCAGAAGCCTCTGCTCTGCATCGCTGGAAACCACGTTCCGTGGCAGGTCAGTCTGTGCGCGGAGCCACCGTCCCGTGGCCTCCTCGGACCAGTTCTTGAAGGTCAGGGGTGGGGTGATGGATCCTTGAAAAGGAACCTGCCTCTGTGTCTGCCACCGACAGTGGGAACTCCGGGGACCGTTAGGCGGCTGGGGAGTCGGGAGGTCGCAGCAGGTCTCTGCTGGAGGCTGGGTTGCGTGTGGAAAGGTCGTAGCGGCTTGCCCAGAAACCCAGCCTTTCCCTGAGTCTCTGCATCGCCTCCTCTCTACCCCAGCAGGTGCTGTGGCCCCGTGGTGGGGCCGGGACTCGGTGTGTGTGTGTGTGTGTGTGTGTGTGTGTGTGTGTGTGTGACACACTGTCTTGTTTCTTATTCCCTCTACACAGTCGGGTGACTGTGTCGTTTTGCCTCTTTGTCAGCAGCATGGCCACCAGCCTTGGCGCTGACAGCTCGCAGCAGCCGAGCCCCCTGTCTACCGAGCAGACCACTCTCCTGGTGCTCCTCTCCGTCCTGGCCGCCGTGCACTTGGGCCAGTGGCTGCTCCGACAGTGGCGGCGGAAGCCGGGGTGCTCGCCCCCGGGTCCCTTCCCTTGGCCGCTGATCGGCAACGCGGCGGCCGTGGGGCGCGCGTCGCACCTGTACTTCGCGCGCCTGGCGAGGCGCTACGGCGACGTCTTCCAGATCCGCCTGGGCAGCTGCCCCGTGGTGGTCCTGAACGGCGAGAGCGCCATCCACCAGGCCCTGGTGCAGCAGGGCGGCGCCTTCGCCGACCGGCCGCCCTTCGCCTCGTTCGGCGTGGTGTCCGGCGGCCGCAGCCTGGCGTTCGGCCGCTACTCGGAGCGCTGGAGGGCGCAGCGGCGCGCGGCCCACGGCGCCATGCGCGCCTTCTCCACGCACCACCCGCGCGGCCGCCGCCTCCTGGAGGGCCACGCGCTGGGCGAGGCGCGCGAGCTGGTGGCGGTGCTGGTGCGGCGCTGCGCGGGCGGCGCCGGCCTGGACCCCACGCAGCCCGTGGTGGTGGCCGTGGCCAACGTCATGAGCGCCGTGTGCTTCGGCTGCCGCTACCGCCACGACGACGCCGAGTTCCTGGAGCTGCTCGGCCACAACGAGGAGTTCGGGCGCACGGTGGGCGCGGGCAGCCTGGTGGACGTGCTGCCCTGGCTGCAGCTCTTCCCCAACCCGGTGCGCACCACCTTCCGCGAGTTCCAGCAGCTCAACCGCAACTTCAGCAGCTTCGTGCTGGACAAGTTCCTGAGGCACCGCGAGAGCCTGGTGCCCGGGGCCGCTCCCCGCGACATGATGGATGCCTTCATCCTCTCCGCCGAAAAGAAGGCCGCGGGGGACCCTGGCGACGGTCCCTCCGGACTGGACTTGGAGAACGTGCCGGCCACTGTCACGGACATCTTCGGGGCCAGCCAGGACACCCTTTCCACGGCGCTGCTCTGGCTGCTCATCCTCTTCACCAGGTAAAGCCTTCACCAGGAGGGATGGGTCGGGTTTTGCTTCCCTCCTTTGAAAAGGGGGCAAGAGGATCAAAGGTCATTAGCTGGGCTGGGCGCGGAATTTGAAGTTTTCTCCCTAACCTCCTCCCCGCAGTTTCTCAAAACCGAGACCTCAGGTAAGACAAGGCCTGGACCACGCAGGTAGGCAGAGAGGCGCGCCCCCGCCTAGCGTTGCCAGGACTTAACCAGCATCTCTGATATTCGTGACTGAGAAACAAAACTTTGAAGAGCTGCCCCGCCCCCACCCCAAAAACAACAGCAAGATTTGTACCGTCTGAGCAGATAAGCTTTGATCCTTCTGCAGCTCGAGAGAAGCAGAGATGGACCGGTTCCAAGCTTAAGTCTGGTGCAGTAAAATGTTCACTAAACGTGGCTCACCAGCTGGTACCATTGAGAATGTCCAGCCCAGGTCTCAACGTCCAGCTTCCAAACACTGGGCTCTGTCACTAGGCAAAGGAAGCCAGTGTGTGTGGTGGGGAGATCCTCAGAGGACAACCTGGGCAGAAGGTTTAGCCGCAGGCGGCTGCTCCTCAGAGCAAGCAGGATCTATCACGACGGTGGCCTGAGCTCAGCTTCCGCCAGGGGGTGGGGGTGGTGGGAGGGGGTCCTGATCTCCCGGCCAGGGCACAGACTCCCCCAGCACCGCAAGGACTAAGTAGGCCCCCCCGCAGTCAGGTGGTGTAAGCAAATGCGTCCTTTAGGGGAACTTGACGGTCACCTGCTGTTTACTTGAAATTCGGATTTAGTCTGTATCTTGTCTAGACACAATAGGCCTTTTCTTAGAGCGCAGGGCAGCGGTTCTCAAGCCGGGGGTCTTTCTCCATCCCTGTCAGAAAACCGATACGTTGCGATTCCTAACAATAGCAAAATTACAGTTGTGGAAGTGGCAACGGAAATAATTTTATGGTTGGGGGGTCACCACAACATGAGGTATTAAAAGCACACCGCAGCTGTACTAAAGGGTCACTGCGTCAGGAGGGCCGAGAACCACCGAATGTGCCGAGTAAGCCCGCCCCTCCGAGCGTGGTAGGCAGCGTCTGCGTCCTCTCGGAATCCACACGATTCCTAGTCCCTTAGCTGCTGTAGATCTACGTTCACCCTTTAAAAGTATATGTAAAATAACTTCAATCAAATCTTAACGTATGTTGGGACTACTGGGACGCAGGGTGCAGGGGAGACAGGACGAGAATAAAGGGAAGTCAGGGCTAGATCAGAAAAAAGGCCTTCCGGTGTGGGACTGCTAGGTAAGCGTGTACCCTTTGAAAAAAGGACAGTGCTCATCCAGCTGTGTAAGTAGCTCTCCACTTGTGCCAAAGAAATAAGAACACTTTCAGGGGCTTTTTCAATTAAACATTATTTTTTCTTTTCCCTGAAAAGATGATATAATCAGAGCGGGTAGATTACAGTGCCTGTTTAGAGCATAACTGAGTAGCTGTTGGATCCATAAGGTCCAAAATGGTTACTGTTTGTCCCTCCATGGGGAACGTTGGGACGTTCTGTTAAGTAATTTTAATAACACCCATTATTTCACCATTTAAATGCTTAAAAATATTTTCAGTGGCCACAGTTATTCCCCCCCTCCCCAACCCCTTCTTTTGAGCCTTATATTTATTATAGTGGAACCACCCTCATCTTTTAACATTGATTTTAGTGTTTTTTTTCTTTTAAAAGACATTTTTAATTTTTAAATTTATTTTTACGTCTGTGTACATTTTGCCTGAATGTTTGTCTGTGGACCAGGTGCATGCATGGTCCCTGCAGAGGCCAGGAGAGGGTGGATCCCTTGGGACTGGAGTTATAGAAGCCAGTTAGCTGTCACGTGGGTGCTGGAAATCAAGGTCAGGTACTCTGCAAGAGCAGCTGGTGCCCTTAACCACCCAGGCACCTCTCAGCCCAGGGCTTAGTAATTTTGATGGCTACCTACTATGTTGCTCTAATATTATATATATATATATATATATATATATATATATATATATATATATATATATATAAAGTCAGGTTTGAGTTTTAACATTAATTAATGGCTTTGGCTGCATTATAAGTTTTGAGTATTGCTATGATTCTATGCTGTTAAGCTAATTTTCTGAAAATAGGCTTCCAGGCATAAATTCCTAGGTTTAGAAATGAGAGGCCAAGGGCTTGTTGCCTTTATAGAGCTTGCTGTGCATTATTTCCAAGGAATTGCCCGTTTGCCCGTTTCTGTCAACAACGGTGCAACACGTCTAATTTGTATCCCCGTCTGACAAACTGGGGCTTTGCTTTTTGAGTTTAGAAAATGTGTAGCTTTATCTATCGGGACACCAACAATACTTTGTAAAATAAGAACAAGAAATTGCCTAAGGATATGAGGGAAGGGAAATAATTTGTTTTCAGTGCAGCATTTTAACTTTTGTGGGCCTAGGTTGTTGTTTTTTTTTTTTTTGTCTTCGTAGACTTCTTTCTAAAACATTGAAAATGTATTTTATGACCCCATTGGTATAAAAAAAAATTGCTAAAATGTGTATTAGAACTTTCACCTATAAGTCCAGTTGTTTAGGTCTGAAGGTGTTAAAAGATAGGCAAATATTTTCCCGGGTGTCTAAAATGTATACTATTGTGCAATTTTAGACTATTAAAAACCTGAGAGTTTATTTTCTCACAGTGGGAAATAAATCCTAGGCCATAAGAGGCTTATTACTGAAAAAAAAATGTTATTGTTTAACTTGTAATATCGGGTGAAAGAAATTAGTAACCTGTTTTAGATTTTCTTTCAGAAATTGTAATTCAGTCACAGACCTAGATAGTTTGTGGAATTAAAACAGAACTGCAGTGTGCTGCAAGGTGAAAGATGAACTAATTATGTGTTCTCTCTCTCTCTCCCACCCCCTCTCTCCTTCTCTCTTTCTCTTTCACACTAAAATCCAAACAGATATCCTGATGTGCAAGCTCGAGTGCAGGCTGAGTTGGACCAGGTTGTGGGAAGGGACCGCCTGCCTTGCATGAGTGACCAGCCCAATCTGCCGTACGTCATGGCTTTTCTTTATGAATCGATGCGGTTCTCCAGCTTTTTGCCTGTCACCATTCCTCATGCTACCACGGCCAACACCTTCGTCTTGGGCTACTACATCCCGAAGAACACGGTGGTTTTTGTTAATCAGTGGTCTGTGAACCATGACCCGGCCAAGTGGCCTAACCCAGAGGACTTTGATCCAGCCCGATTCCTGGACAAGGACGGCTTCATCAACAAGGAACTCGCCAGCAGTGTGATGATTTTTTCAGTGGGCAAACGGCGGTGCATCGGTGAAGAGCTGTCTAAGATGCTCCTGTTTCTTTTCGTCTCCATCCTCGCTCATCAGTGCGATTTCAAGGCTAACCAAAATGAGCCCTCAAACATGACCTTCAGTTATGGCCTGACCATTAAGCCCAAGTCCTTTAAAATCCATGTGTCTCTCAGAGAGTCCATGGAGCTCCTTGATAGGGCTGTGCAGAAGCTGCAAGCTGAGGAAGCTTCCCAGTGAGAAGCCAGAGGTAGCTGAAACATGAGAACACCCGCCTCTAACTGGGGAGGAAAATACAGATTTATGTTCCCAGCTTCGTTTTGGCATCACTTCTTTAAAGTGAGCAGAGACCAAGTGGCCTGAAGGCGAGGCACACTTACCAATTCATGGCTTCTCATGAGCCCATGCTGGAGTTCCTGGAAATATTTTTGAATCGAACAGTAAAAGGGCCCAAGGAATTTGGATCCTGTTTTTGTTTTTTGTTTTTACAATTGCACACATGCACACCCATCAGCATACGTGCACAGCTATCTTACACAGTATTTCAGGAACTCTGCCTTGTTGGGGAGGTTTTTGCCGGAACTTCTCTGTGCAGACATGGACCCCATAGGAAACTGCACTAAGCAAAGGCTTAGGATATATTCAAGAATCGAAAACGAGTGATTTCAGTGTAAAATGTAAAGACCAGACATTCTCTACCGAGCGACAACCTGCTTAGGAAAATGCTTTAACCCCTCTGTAGCAGCCCTGGGTGAGGTTTTCTTTTTGCCTGTAGATGAGATGTGCCTCCCACTTCAGGATGGAGCACAGAAGTCAGTTTCCCCCAAAGGAATTAATAGTTGGTTTAATAACTGCAGCAGTTTTCAGAAATTTGTGAATTTAAAGGTAAATTGTTTAGGTGGCAAAAAAAAAAAAAATCTTACAAATTAAAGATGTATCTCATTTGGCTGTTAAAATGAAGTATTCCAGTTATAACAGGGAAAAATATTTGCCAGTCCAGCTTAAGCTTTCAATTATGGGATTGAAATAAACTGGTCTTAGTAATAAGTCTGATAAACAAAACAAAACAAAAAGCCTCATGTCACCAAATAGTATTTACTGCATATAAATTTGTTACAGAAGTATTTGTAATCATCACATGAATAGTATTTGATTAGAAAAATATTTGTATAATGTATTTCTTATGCCATATTGCAAACCAAAAAGAATAATCAGTTGAATGAAATTCGATCAAATACAGGAAATGAGGCAGACTAAGTCAATCTGTTTTAACAACAGGGAACTAAGTAACAGAAAGATTTTTTTCTCATTCCCAGTTCAGACAAGGGACAACACTCAAAAGCAAATCAGCAAAATGTGTTCTTATCTAGTAATTGAAGTTACAACACAGAGACTTCTTTTCGAATTGACCCCATCAATACATTAAGATTTCAAACTCTTGGCATGCTTCAATTTTAAGTTAACTTAAAATCCATCTTGATTATTCTGTTTCAGTTGAAGCTAGAGGAAATAGAATCATTATTCCATGGAAGGTGAGACACCTGACCTTTGTCTGAGGACGAATGCTGAAAAAAGGCCATGGATTTTCTGGATGTTCTTTGTCTTAGGCCACACAATAGGAAACTCATTACAGCTGAGCAGTTTCTCTTTAAGTGTTATTGTTAGTGTTGTTTTTTAAGTTGAGTCTTAAGGTCTGTTTTTTTGTTTGTTTGTTTGTTTGTTTTTGTTTTTTTAAGTCAGAATGTGAAGGTTGTCTTAGGAGGTTGTTTAGCGACTGCTCTGTAAGATGCTGGAGATAGTTAAAATCGCCTCTCTTATTTAGGGTGGTACACTGTGAACAGTTACTTTTTGGTAGCTGGGAAAGAAGAACTGTATGTGTTTGGATTATGTAAACAATCCGAAAAACCCCTTTAAGCAGGGTTGGAAGAGGGAAAAAGTAGGAACAGGGCGGGTGGGAGTTTCCTATTTCTGTTTTCATTGCAATTAGATGTAACAAAAGAATCCTGCCGCACTCAGAGAGCTCACTGTTTGCTCATTAGGCTTTTTGGCATTTTTGTATCAAAATTACAAAGGAAGGCGTGTGTGATTTTTTTTGTGTGTGTGTGGGGGGATGGCCAGAAGCCCCAAGGAAGAAAGAGTTTGAGAATGAAGAGCAATGGCTGAATGGTTCCCATTCACTCAAAATTAATTTATTGAACTATAAAATTTGAAGCATGGAAGTTTAGAAAGAAAAGATCTTCAGGGTGCCAGGCCTTAAATTTCAAGTGTACTTTAAGGATCCTCAGAGCCCTTGCCCTCTGCCTCTCCCTCCCACCTCTACATGGTTTTTGTAGTTGGAAATTGAACTATAAAACATTAATGTACGCTTTTAAAAAGAATTCTCATAACAAAACCCCTTGAATGTGAAGCACAAGTTGTGTCAGCGTTTTAAAGCCTTAATTTCAACTCCAAAAGTTAACTGTGCAATATTTTTTAACTTTTTAGACCTTTTTAAGGCATATGTCTCAGTAGGGCTGGGACAGTGATCTGGGTTCCCATGGCCTCTTTGGGAAACTCACAATAGTGAAAGTCACATACCAATGTGGACCCCTCATTAAGTCGACCAGACCAGATGTATATTTAGAACCTAGTGAAAGGAGAGAGGATACAAACCAGAAAAGAGTAACAGTTACCAGATTTGGATGCTATTGTAACTGATCATGGGCTTGATCAGAAAGCCCATTTTCTGCTACAGAAGGATGTCATGTAACTCAGAATTTTTACATGGGTCAGTGCAGCAAAAGTATGTTTCTAGTATTTCTATTAAATGCCTCATTTGTATAGTAAAGCTTGGACTGCGTCAGAACATTGCTCTTTTTCCCCCCAAAACAAAAAAGACGCCTCAGGTGTGTTTTGTAGATTAATCAAATGAGTTCATGCCCCAGAACTTAGCCTTTACCTGTGAAATATTACTGCACTCTTATTGTTTTCACAACAGGGCTGTGCTAGATTAAATAGATACGTGGCCCTGTATGTTAATTAGTATGTTTTTAGCTTCGACACAATCGTGTGATAAAAGGTATATGTCACCAGGTGATTATAACCCAAGAATAACTTCCTATTTAGCCTTTTCTTGAGTTTTTGTACTTTATCATGTATCTTCTTAGTATGTATATAGCTGACATAGTACACAGTCATAACCAAAACATTTCCTACGCACAGAGCAGTAACTAAGGGGTAGCCTCTACCTTTTGATATAATTAAAATTTAAACATTCTGTCAGTCATTATCTGTCACGAAATACTGTTACCTAAATAATAAAAACCACTTTCATAATTCTATGGAATTTGTTTTTATGTTACAAGTAATACAGTCTAATTGGCCATTACTTCTGTTATTATGTGCCCCTCCACTGAGGCACTGTGGTGTTCGGTTCTGAATTCAGCTTTCACACCACTGTGTGGGAGGAGCCAGCCTTCAACTTTGCTACACTTCAGTGCGCTACTCTCTAATAAACAACAGAAGCATGTGTTACAAACTTCTTCTTTGATCACCTCATAATTTAGCCTGTTTGCTCTTCTGTTTTTTTCCAGTACTTTTTATTCAATGATTTTTCAGTATCCAGTTTTCTAGCAAATCCATGGTCTTTATATTATCAAATTTATAAAGGCTGACACAGAGTTAAATTTGTAATTTTGAAGGGTTGGATTGAGGTCTTAACATGCTGACCTAATATTTCTGCTCCACCCGAAAAATGCAGGACACATTTATCAAGTCAACATGCTGAAATGTTCATTGAGCATGTAATTCATTCACTTTTAAGATTTGAGCACCTTGATCAGCAAGAGCAGCTGACGCCTAGTCAAATAGGCCAGGTGAGAAAACTGCAGGGTGCTGTGAGGAGAATTTTCTGAGGACCTGTTTATTTGGTAAGTGACATGGTGTCACAAGACCCACGGGCAGGGCCTCACTGTTCCACACACATAGGCCTGGCAATGCCCGAGGCCGCCACCTCCCCTTTTATTTTCCTTACAACCACTCCTATTATTATGAAAACAGGCAAAGCAGCAGAAAAGCCAAAAAGACACTCCATTTCATCAATGCTTGGGCTGGGAACTTCAGTTTAGCAGCCCAAAAAGGACGGTTGTGAGTTGGTCTCAAGGAACAGTCACTTATTTTCCAGATAAATGATAAATGTTCTTGGAAAATGGTGAGACCCATTCAGGACAATTGAGAGAGATATTTTCTTGGAGGGGAAATAAAAATCTTGGTGGGGTCAAGATGTTTTGTTGGGAGAGACAGGGAGTAAACCCAAACAATCTAGTAGAGTCCAGGCTAAATGATGCTGGGAAATGAGGGCAGCTTTGGCCATCAGCCAGGTGTGCCCCTGGAAGCTTCCAGCCATTCTAGCACTTTATAAAGTCATTCCGTTTTTCTGCGTAACTGTCTTTTAGCTCTCTCTTAGCCTAGCTCAGCGAACCTTTAAAGGCCCTCTGGCTTGGGTTTCTTAGTTATCCTCAGAAAGGGACGAAAAGGAAGAAAAACTACAGAAACCAGTTGTGCTGGTATTTTGGACTAAACTATCTGGGGGATAAGCACGCAAAGCACAAGCGAGAAGACTGAGATTTGTGCACTCCCACAGGGGTCAGGCGTGGCCGTGCCCCTCTGTAACCTTGGTTCATAACTCCACTGGGCCCAGTGCAGCTGGAACCATGAGCTCCGGGTTCAGGGAGAGACCTTGTCTCAGGAAGTCAGGTGGAAAGTGGTTGATGATATCACGAGTGTCAGTCTCTGGGCTCCAAACCTGCCCAGCCAGTGACCACACACATACGCGCACACGTCACGGAACACTTACACGGGCAAACCTCAAGCACCAGATTATGTTCCTAATTCCTTTATTTGATAAGACAATTAAAAACCTATTTTAAAAAAGTGGTTATTCCTGCTTTTCAGCATGTATCAGGCAAGAGCATAAGAAATGGAAGGAATACTAAACACTTAGGAGTTTGGGGTCAGGGTACTACAGTAAGCTTAAACACACTCTAGTATGGCATGAGTGGTGATATATGAAATAATTTAGAAGTGCTCATCTGGACTGTTCTGAAAGTTCACTTCCTTGCCTTGGTGCCATCACTCGTCTCTCCCAAAGGGGCCTGTGCTTGGAAATGCAGAGTCATTTGTCACCTTTGAGTCTGTAATCTTTGTGCACAGAAATTCCCTTCCTTTTGAGGGACAGACCATTGCAAATCCACTCTGGTGCCTAAATTAGTAGTTTTGTTTCCCATAGCTTCCTGGCTATGGGAAGCTGCTGGAATTCTCACACAGAGCTTCGGGAGTGCAAAATGGCAGCATGAGCCAACAACTCTAAGATAGTCATCCTGCAGGGGGGAAATGCAGCCACACAATAGAGCCACAGAAGCAGATAACTGTAAAAATAGCACGTGGACAATTGTCAAGGAAGCCATGTTGGTTTAAAAAAAAAAAAAAAGTCAGCCTAGCAGGGTGGAGTGGCGCACGCCTGTAATCCCAGCACTCAGGGAGGCAGAGGCAGGTGGATCTCTATAAGTTTGAGGCCAGCCAGGTCTATAAAGCGAGGCCAGGACAGCCAGGGCTACGCAGAGAAACCCTGTCTCAGAAGACCAAAAAAAGTCCAAAAGATTATATACTGCAAGATTCCACTCATGCAATTAGTTGGAGAACAGCGGGTTTGATTCTTCATCATACGAGTCGTTACATGGACATATAGTTTTATGAGAAATAAAATTATAACAAAACAATTAAAGGCTAAAAATCTTTAAAGGGGAGTTGGTGTAAATGAGCTTAAGCCACAGGCTGGATGCTCTGAGGGGCAGGCCAAGTCCAGGCTTATGAAGAAGGGCCAAGGCCCATGTTGACATCCTTGCCAGATTCTCCAAGTCCAACAGGAGATGGACCGCCAGCCTCTGGGGTCGAGCCTCCCG